GAGCAAAACGCTGTGAATTGATCGAAACGATGGCATCGATTAGACTCTTAACGCAAAGACCCATTCAATTGATGGTCGCATCGGTTGGGCGACAACTGATGCCACGTGTTGTGAGCCATCGGTTGCAGTCGACGGCCGCCACACCTCCTCCTCCACCGCCGCCTGAAGTGAAGCCAACGATTCGATCGCAAGATTTGGTGAAACGGAAACAATTGACTGAATTCGGTGTATATGTGGCCCAATGTGTGCCCAAATACGTGCAGTCCATACAACTCACTCACGGCGACGAACTCGAGGTCCTGATTGCGCCCGAAGGAGTGGTTCCGGTGATTCACTTTCTCAAAGACAACCACTCGTCTCAGTTCACCAGTTTGGTCGACATCTGCGCTGTGGATGTGCCCACTCGTGAGTTCAGGTTTGAAGTGGTCTATCAGTTACTGTCTCTGCGCTATAACTCGAGAATACGGGTGAAGACATACACCGATGAGTTGACGCCTATTGACTCCATCTGCGAGATCTTCAAAGGCGCCAATTGGTACGAAAGGGAGATTTGGGTAGACAAGCCACAGAAGAAGTAGTTAGTAGGGCTAGAGTCCGCATAAGAGTGACTGATACCGAAGCTTCCTGTAGGCAAAGCGTTCCTAAAGGGTAATTCACCAATATGTCTCCATACTGAAGAGAATGCTTTTCTTCCACACATGTATTGACGGATCAATTGTTGCATCACTTTTAGTGTCGTTATGACGACGAGCTCAAGAGAGTGGTGATCGAGCCCTTGGAGATGACACAGGAGTTTAGGAAATTTGATTTACAATCTTCGTGGGAACAGTTCCCCAATTTCCGGCCCGAAGCACTTCCCGTTCAAGAGATACCTTTACCACAAACTAACGAAAAACAAGAGCAGAAAAAGTAGTTTTTCATTTAAAATAGTACTAATTTATGTGAATTTAAGGCAAAATTTGCCCTAAATTAACGGTTTTAATGCAAACCAATGGTTGAAATTTATGTAAAATATGTTTAGTTTATTGGAATTAACTTCAAATAAATCATAAAATACAGAGTTATAAATATATTAGAAAAGTAATAAAACAAATAATGGTTTATTGGATGCGAAGACTTTCCAACAATTGCTTCAATTGTTGCTCGAATTTAGTGAAAGAGAAGTTCTGTTTGACGTGTTTGTGTCCATTAATGCCCATCTCTTTGGCCAGACTTTTATCCGAAACAAACCTTTTCATTGCATTCGCAAAATGCTTGGNGAAATCGATGCACAGATAGTATGTGTCGCGATTGAGACGATATACTTCGCACACTTCGCTCAACCAATCCATGAGAATGGATCTCATTCTGGACTGAAGAGTTGGGTGTCTGTGAAGCATCAGAGCGTTGCGCTGATACACCTCATCCTTACGGACCATCAGATCCCAAACCTCTCCGCCGTCGGCCCAACTCAGGGTCGGAAGCGGTGACCGCCGAGTGCTGTGACGCCAGTGAGGGTTCGGTGTGAGTGAGTCGATGGACAGGGAGGCCATTGACGACAGGGATGTGTTCATTGTTGAAGACTATCTCATAGACTGTATAACACTATTTGGTGTGAAAATACACAAAGAAAATGCTTAGAAAGGCTGAACATTGACTACACTTTCAAGCGTTTGAAAACACATTAATCGTAACGACAATTAACGCAAATTATGCTCAATTAAAAGGCTTACAAATGGTGTTATAAAATAATTAAAAGTTTAAATAAAAGTAAAATAAATTAAAAGTGAAAATTAAAAGACAAAGTGTTGAGCGGTTTATTGGGTGAAGGGATGTGGAGAAGCGACCGATCGCTTCAATAGTGAGCCCTAAAGTGAGAGAAAGGCAGAGAGAGTAAGCCATAGGCAGTGCTGTGTTAGCACTGGTATGCCATTAGAGCGCCAATACATTCCCGCTCTGAGGGCTCTCTCAGACCCATATATACCCATACATTACATACACATCACTAACACCTAATCATCACTACATGTGATCCACACTTACATTAAGACAATACCACACATTAATTATGACTTTATCTCATAAATAATCGACATATTATTGCTTTCAAACAATTCATTAATCAATTAAATGTGCAGTTAATGCACGCATTCAACGCATCCTATCCTAAAACTATGCCTTTTTTCATATCTATATAATTGTGATTAAAACACAACTCATTTCACGTCTGAATCGATAATACACTTATAGATTATATAAATAATTATAATTAATTAACTAAATGCCAAAACACTCACCAAAAATGTGTGCAATTAATGAGGGAAAGTGTGTCTCGAAATGTGTTTATTGTTTTGCAAACATTGCAATGCATTCAACACTGGTTTCAAACTATAGATGAGATGATTGCGAATGGGTTTCAATGTTGAACATAATTGTCATGAAATTAATGGTATGTTATATACATATGAATGCAAATGAGGGCTAATTCAACACAATTAGCCCAAAACGCGGGCGAAGTTGACAATCGATCAGCTGTTGTGCTGTTTTACACAACAGTTATTGTGAACACACTCTCACTGCGAGGGAGACCATCAGCCTATCACTGCTCTCCACATCAACGCCCTCTCAACACACACTACACAACCACTCAATACAACTCACAATGAGTTTAAGTTATATATGAGTTACTAAATTGTCATTAAATTACAATTACACTCACATTCAATACTATTTGTTAATATTGCTATCAGAGAGAGAGAGAGAGAGAGAGAGAGAGAGAGAGAGAGAGAGAGAGGCGAGAGAAATTTGTAGGTTATGTTTGTAATTAAATTAACATTACAATTGTACCCAAACTGCGCTCACCGATCAATTAATCACAATTAACAGAATTTACATAAATTTAAACAACAATTGTAATTATATAGACATTAATGCCATTAAATGTATAAATAGATGACAAAAACATTGTTATAATATTGAATTAAATAAATGAATAAACAGTTTATTTAAGCACTAATTTATTATAAACTAAAGACAATTTGTAAACCCAAACGGACTCTCGATTGAGTCAAACATTGAATTAATTAATAAAACAATAGATGAAAGAAAGGTCTAATCGATTACAATCTTCATTGCATGTAATCATTTCATGGCATCTAATCCTTAACCAAATTGATTGGATCTAATTTGATGTCTGCGTCAAACTTGAAGTCGAGTTTCGCCAAATTGTTTTCGTCTTTGATTTGATGACTTCGCGCCACTCTTTCCATCTCTTCCTTCAGTCCTTTCAAGACCTTATCGTTTGCGTCGACCAAACCGTCGGCCGTTGTCTTCGACTTCTGGCTGTATTCGCGGATTTTGTCCACAAATAGCTTCTGAATCGGATCTGAGGGTTGGGTTTGCGTTGAAGCCATCAATCGGTAACTGTTTCGCGATATTTGACCCAAATTTAGGTTTAATTTAATTATATTTAACAACATTTTCGCTAAATTGTGATCAAAATTACAATATTATTGAAAATGCTTTGCAAACACTGAATGACCTTTTGATTCACAAATACCATAACATTCATAATAAGGTCCCCATTATATGGCTTGACATTAATTTCCAATACAATATATTAATCACAACTTTAGACCCCTTTATGTACTGTTGTCTGTGAATAGTTTTCACACATCTATTGATGTGTTGAATGATTTGAGACAAATAGAGACACCCATTGGATGGCAATCACATGTTTTATAATACAAATCCTTGTATTTTACCCCCTCTTAAGTGCCGTCCCTTTGGTCTCAACTCAATTGACAGCAACAATAATGCAAAACTAAAATGATATACATTTATATGTAAATTACGTTAACATTAATTTATTTAATTCAATATATTTGCAGATTATAAGCACTTTTAAACATTAAATTCTAACTTAAATCCATTTATTTGAGTATAATTTGTAAAGTATTTCAAATGGTGTCATAATTTTCATCACAATTTGTGTCCCAAATTGTCTGCAAATTCCACTCAAAGCCGTAATTGATTGAAACGATTGTGAAAATAGTGTTATTATAATAAACAGTGTTTACATAATTGCGAGCAAAACGCTGTGAATTGATCGAAACGATGGCATCGATTAGACTCTTAACGCAAAGACCCATTCAATTGATGGTCGCATCGGTTGGGCGACAACTGATGCCACGTGTTGTGAGCCATCGGTTGCA